AATAAACTCACTAAGGAGGTTTCTAGTAAAACAAAAACCCAAAATATAAAAACAAATAGAACCATTAAAAGTAAATACTTATTTCATAGATCTCTAATATAAATGAGTGGATTGAAATTAAGATCTTTAGTGACCAGTTCCTACCAAGAATGACCAAGTATTTTCTTAAATATTTAACGTATTACTAAATGTACTATAAAAAATTGATCCTGTAAAAGTATGCATGAAAGCCCCACATAAATAAGGGGGGAAATTATTATTTTCTCCAAATATAGTATTCTATCATGAAATCAAATCTAAATACAGCAAATTTTGAGGTGCTGCTCTCTGGATTCAATTATAATTTCAAGTACTGTATATAGATCCAGAGACCTGCCAGACTGTGAAATTTTTCCTATAAAGCAGATGTAAGAGCAGGTATAAACACTTAAAAGCCATGGAACTATTTATACTGTAATTTCAACAGCTCCATTCAGGCACAGGCAGCATTAACTGTTGGATCTTTCTACATCACAACCATTTAGCAGTTGGAATAAAGATGTTATTGCACTTATGCTTTATATTCACTCTTCTTGRAGTCTTAGGAGTGATAGAAACCATCTTAAATCTTTGTCTTGTTGTAATGGCTCATAAGCATAAAGAAAACATTTCTGGGCTGCACAAAATTAACTTTACCCAGAGCCCTCAGAATAACAGGAGACAGACAGATGAAGTTCTATTCCCTGTTACTTGCCCAGAAAAAGAAAGACTGCAGAATATTGAGGTAACTGGGTACAGAGGTATTTTTATCCCAGATTTGATTGTAGAAAGTGAGGAAACTTTAGGTGGGATTTTGGTTTCCATTTGACTTGACCCAGTGAGGAATTAGTGCTTCTGGTTTTGCACGTATCTACCACAGCATATAGTTATTTTGGATAATTATGAGAGAAAATGCTTTTCAGACTCAAAGACACACCCAAAGGGAAGGATGAAGTTTAAATGATTCAATGATCCTTTTGCYTTCTTTTCCAGATTTTACATGTGGGACAATAAAGGGRGGAGAACTTGTCTTTCTGGTGTCACAAAGTTGACATCTTCCTCCATCACCTGAGTGCTGCATTAACCCCTGTCAGAAAATAATGCTAAATATCTCTATCCAAACTGAAATACTGATTTCCCCTTGATTTTAGACTCTGCTCTGCATCATGGTTATGGAAGAAATGCGTTTGGGCTACTCCAAAACAATGAGTAGGCAGGTTTTATAGAWGTATAGAACTTGACAGCCAATTAAAAACAATGGGGAGAAGGAGAGAAAAAGACCATCAATAAGTCAGTGGGTCATTTTAGCCAGTGGAGAAAGATCTCGAGATTTCATGGAGTTGCCAGCAATAGGGTTTCCTTGTACATTCGTACAAAAGGATTCACTGCATTATATTTTTTTTTTTTTGCAATATCACAACATACTGAGAAGAGTCTTGATGTATTTAAAATTACAAAATATGTTAAATACTTTAAGTAGATACTTTCTGTTCCMAGTTTACTAATTTTCAATTAGTGACTAAAGTGGCTTTCAGCTGAGAACATGACAAATCTTGAATTTCTGTTAATATCTCTAATCTCRTAATAATTTCATTTTTTGATCTGCTAGAGCATTCCAACAACATTTACAAGATTAATCTTCATTGATTTTTCTCTTAGATAATGTTGGAATTTTCCACCAGAAAGGAAATAGGAAAGTTTTATTAATAAAAAGACCATTAGCGGTGCTTCCTTTGGGGAGCAGACCTGAAGTGTTATTTGTTCATGTGGTTGTGTCTGTCTCTGTCTCCCTCCCCTACCCCTGGCTTTTCATCCTTTTAAATTAGAATAAAGGAACTAATGAAATACCTGAGTGCRTTATTTTGTTTGGTTTCTAATAATGCATTTGAATCTCACAGTAGGARCAACAACACAGAGTAAAAGCAGGAATCTGGTACAGTCGTCATCAGAAAGGTATTTTGAGAYTTAAAAGGCTTTCTCCTGAAAAAGGACATCTTAAAAAAAAATATTGCAACTATGTTATAGATGTCATTGTAAACACACACTTACTTGGTATTATTCCTTTTAAATACATATTTCTGCTACATGATGAAAATCTGTGTTTTTGTATGACAGTGTACAGGTATTCACTCTTGTGGATTAATTTTGTTCCCTTTTTGGTACTTCACGTGGCAGAGTTGCCATCAATGAATTGCAGAAACTTGAAAGTACTGAATRTAAATTTCATGAATGAGAAAAATTATGTGTAGCACAAATTCATTCATAATGCGTGAGATTCAGCTCCTTAAGGTGCAAGATTGCACGTATGGCCTCAAAAAAAAGGGGAAATAGATGTTAACAACTACTCATATAAATAAAATATAGTGCATTATAAAAATAGCATCTACTAGATTTACATTTGAAGTAGCAGAAGATATTAAGTAAACATGGGGAAATGGTTTGGTTTGGGTTTTTTTGTTGTTTTTTTTTCTTCTTTTTTTTTCTGAGGGAGATAGAGACTCATAAAAAACTCAATAAAATGAAAGCATTTCTTCTTTCAAGGAAACAGTCCAGAAGATAATTTTTAACAGTCTTTTGATGGTCGTAATTTTCTAGTTCATACAAATCATGAGGCTGATTTTCCCCCAAAAACTGAATTGCTTAATTTAAGTTACTYTGGGAATTTAACTGGAGCCATTTTATTTCATTTCCTAGTCATTGCAACACAATTTTATTTTAATGCATTATCAGAAGGAAGATGATTTTCAATCAGTTGTCAGGCTGATTATATCTACAATATGTAATAAAGTGCTCTCATCCTGTTTGCATTGTGTATTTTTAAAAAAAATATTACCTTTTGCAAAGATATAAATGGTTTGAAAAAAGGAAGAAAATATTAATTGTTATTTACATGCTGGCAGTTTGTATTCCCTCTCTATTTTTAAGGATTACCACTGACAAACTTTCAAAGCCTTCAAAGTTGTATGAAGAATTGTTACTTTTCTATAAAAGAGTAAGATGCTTCTGTTGCCCCTAAGTATAAATTGTTTAATATTATTTAACATGAGACCAACTATAACTGAAATTGGTACTTTGCTGACCAGATAATTGCCATAAACAAAAACRTAAGAATTTTGCCCAATTAGAGCAATTACCTTTTCCATCACTGTCCACCCAGTACCAAAAAGCAGGAAAACAAATTATAAGAAAGATGGCAAAGAAATACATAGATAATAGGGAACAAAATGCATGTGGAAAAAAAAARGCCTAACAAGCAGTTCAAAAGTGTGATTTATAAATATAAAAATCAGTTTTGGAGAGAATAAAGCCGGTGCAATGCAAAGGCAATGAATTTTAAGTGTGTGGCCTGCATAATTTCTAGGCAGACTGACTCTGCAAATATGTAAGAAATTGCATTTTCAATGATTCTTCCTTTCTAGATAAAGAGTACATATGGAAATCTTTGGCAATTTTCATTCTGAAACATTCCAAGCAGAAAAGAGGAAAATCTGACTGCATTTTTTTCCTCTACAAGTTTTCTAACATACAATTTTCGAGAGTGTATTAATACATAAAGTAGTTTTAGAAGAGTTGAGCAGAATGYTGCATATTAACTAAAAGCTACTCCCAGCCAGCCAGTCCTTCTAAACAAAGCTCTTCATGCCAGGTCCTTGCAGAATCATTCCCAAAGGAAACCTGTCCTGCTGCTCACTGCCACACTGTGCTGAGTGTTGTGATCTCAGAGCTGTGCATTTGCACATGAAACACACACAACACATGGTTTTGGTGGAAATACTTCGCTGGCTGTTTCAGAGAATTCTWTCCTTGCTGATTTCTTAAGATAAGAGTTTCCCCATGGTCTCTTCTGCTCCTTAAGAGAGGAACTAACCCCAAAGTACGAGAAAATACAGCACATCAGAGGCACATCTTTCTGAGAGATTCTGTGCATCTTCTCAGACACCAGTTTTTGCTAGAAAAAGGAAAATTTTCTCCTGGAATATCTGAAGACTTAAACTAGATGGTAGCCCATTGAATAAGAGAGGAACGACTGGCCAAAAAACTTTTAACTTTTAGGCTTTCTTTCCAGTGGAACAATATTATGCTTGCATGAAACAGAGCTAACAAAGTTAGAAAACAATAGAATTTTATAATACAGAAACATGACTTAAAGCTACGAATTAAAACAACTACTTTTTTCCCCACAGAATACAGAGGCCCATGCAGCACAGTCATATTGATCAATTACTTGCTAAAATTGCACTTCAAAAAGTGGAAGTTTTTCTTCCACATGCATATAACATGGCAAAGAACTACAAAAAGCTCCTAAAATAATCCCTAAACTAGTTTTAGCAAAAGGTAAAGTGTAGAACAAAATTATTTCCCATACAGATACGAGACCTACCAGAGCTTCCTCATCAGGAAGGGATTTCTGCCCTACTGTGAATCTTCCACRTGTCATATAACAAGGAAATTAACTCTGGGCAAACTTCTTTATACAGATCAATAGAGCCAAATACATTTTTAATAAAATCTTACCAACTGYCAGCTCTATCCCTCATTCTGCCAGATGAAGAAATTAAACATACTGAGTACTACATCTGCTCTTCCTCCAGTCATAGAAAGCCATTCACTGTCCATAGCACATACACATCTTTAGCTTGAAAAAGCATTAAATTATTAATGTGCATTTTGGGAGAAAGAAGAACATTTTTTTTCATGTTTAATGATGCATCTCAGGGGAAGGATTATATAAGGCTCAAAAAAAATGTAACCTGGAGGGAAATAGTGCCCTTATATCTTGTTAACCTAAGTTCATTACTACAGCAAAAGGCCATCTCTATCCTTGGGCAATACCACATAAGCATCATTATTTTTTTCATTAGTGATCCAAAATAATTTTTAGATCATTAGAGAGACTGTTACGGATTTTTCAATAGACATATGCTTTACATTGGATATGAAGCTTTGGGTTTTCCATTCAATAAAGGTGATCACATACTTACTTTTCTGTCTGGCCAGTTATATTTTGCAAATATTGTATCGTATGTGTCCACAGCTCCATCAGTGATCAACATTATGGCTTGGCTGCAAATGCTGCCTTGTCCTGTGTGATTGAACTGCAAAAAGAAACAATCATTAGGCACATTCCTATTAAATGAAGATAGACAAGATCACACAGAGTAAACATGGATTTTGTCAAATCTCTAGCATCCTCGGAAGAAGTTGAAAATATTCAGGCTGAAAACATTTTATCATAGATATTACATTCTCAGTGAACTGAAAAATAAAAAACATGCATAAATATAGTACTACCCTAAATTAAAATGGTATTCCCCTGTTTTTGATGTATGGTAAGTGTTGATGTATCTATAGGATTTGCTTTGATTTAAATATAATTTTAAGAGAACAAGTTGCACAAAAAGAAGTAATGAATTTTCAGCAAAACACAGAAGATACACAACTCTTAGGCAAACATGACTATTCATATGGCATTAATTCATATTCACTCAGGATTACATTCCATATGCTATTTTCTTTAAAATATTTATCTGGGAGAAYCGAGTTCATATTTATATATTCTGAGATTCTTCTATTACTCAGAATGAATACATATAAACTATTCAGGCTGCTGAAGAGCAGTACTCGAGCACAGGTACTCAGACAGCAATCAGCAATCCTTTGGATATGCAGAGGAAGCTTCATCGTTATGCAAATGGGATTTCCTCCTGCCAAAGAGCAAACACATTGGACTGACTCATAATTTGAACTGTGATCAGATGGAGTTGGTACTTGCTTTGAATCCATTTGTCTCCATTTGCTTTGGTTGCAAAATAGGTTCCTGTTTGTCTGTGTATTACCTTATCTGTTCAAGGAACTTTGGTGAAACATCCATCTTTTTAGCAAAAAAAAAATTGTGAAGCTGTAAAATTATTTGTTTTTTAAGTGCTCTGTATGAAACTTTAAAAAATCTATGCAAAGATCAATAAATTGGATATTACAATTACTTTCCTGTCGATTTTATGTACATTATCAAATTTGAGGTCAGGCAAAGCCTTGTCCTATCAGCCTTCTTTTGATGCTGAGAAAGCCAAGCAAGAATTACTTTGCCCCACCTCAACATCCTTGCTGTGCCCCAGAACAGGGTGGTCCYATTTAAAAAGTGGTGCCTATGTTCAAGGTGAATTACCTTGCAGGGACTCTGACTGCTTCTGCATTCATCAAAAATTATCCAGAGTATTCTGGTTTGATCTGAACCAGCAATAGCTCTGTCTTCTAATCTTTCTGCAGTCTACTCACCCTTACATATTCACTGTTTTTCCAAAACTCTAAACCCCACTTTTTCTAAAAAAAGTTCTCCTAAAAATGTCATCTTTGTAGAARTGCCTGCAGTAGAAAAGGGTGGATGGTGGGTTCCAGAAGCTCTCTGGTCTCTTCTGCCTTCATATTTCTGTATGTGAGTAATCACACCCACATTCAACAACCTCTTCTGTCACCTGCATCTCTCCTCAGGAACCTCAGCAAACAGYACTGGAAACACTCTGCTTAAAGGGCAAATAATGTGGATTTAGAGTTAACTGTATTGTGATCACTGCCTGGGTGAAAACCCTTCTCTGTGTCATTTGCAARGCCTTAAAATCCTCCAGTCGTGAAGGTTTTTCCAGTCTTAACCAGAACCAGAATCATTAAAGTGGGATTCCTTCATGGTCTTAGAGCCAGTATTTGCTCATAAAGGTGGAGTRCCTTTGTCTAGGGATATCTTCCTCACATGGACAATATATTTTGAAAGTGGCAAGGTATCTTGAAAGAGAAATTAATGAAGGGGAAACACCGYTGTGCATTTATTTTAAAACACCACTCTGTATGCATCTGCATTATTCYACACTGTTATCTGAATATTTTGAAGAATGAGATTGAATTCAAATACTTTGATGAGTAATATCTTCTCATATTTGTCTAAAACTTTTTAATTTTATTGAATAGCAAGAGTGATGAAAGTGTTTTCCATAATAATAACAATGACAAGGGGCTTATGATGAACTACAATTAACTCAGTGATTCATCAGTTAGCAGCAAAAATTTCAATGCATCCTGACATTTACAGCATTTGGTTGTGATTAACAGTCTTTGAAATGTCACAGAATTTTATTTAATTGGCTATGATTTTTTTTTAAAGGTAATCACTGCAAAGAGCACATTTGTCACCAAAAGAGATAATTGCAGTTGTCACATGACATAGTAGGTGCCTAACTACTGTACCAAGCACTTCTGTATTCTTACCCTGTATAATGTACAYTGCATAAATTGTGATTGGAAAGAATTTGGAAGTGGATTTTTAAACGYGCCTTTCAAATATATCAGTATCAACCATCTTCGAGTCTTGACAGCCATAGCAAATACTGGAAGGTAATTGCAAGGCAAAATTGACTGAGTTTAATTAGTGTAACCCCTGAACCATTCTAAAATCCAACCAGAATCTTAATAGACTATTTGTGTAACACAAAGCTTTCTCTTTTTCTTTTTTATTTTTGTATTTAGCTTTCCTACACTTCCCACTCCTTACCCCTCCCGATTCACCCACTCTTTTTTTTTTTTCTTTTTTTTTTAATGTAGAGAAGACATCCTTAGTTAACCCATAATTCAAAGAATAGAATTCTGGCACAGAAAGGTCACATTCTTAGACAGAGTGGGAAATGGATTGCTGTACTCTGCTAAGGAGAGAGTTGGGGGCTTTATCTCTGGCCTGGGCTGCTTCATTGAAGCTCCCAGAGACTTTGCAGGTATGTCTGTATAAAAGGGAAAAGATTTTTATGCTGGCACTTCTGGAAGTTTATATGCAAGAAGGATTGAACCTATTATATTTTAAATTGAACCTATCATACTTTCTTTTCAAGTATAAATAATCAATGCAGCCCCTTGAATAGAGCTGAACATACTTGTAGCATAATCCATCATGGTCTTACAGATCACTCATCATGGGTATGGWTCAGCACATGGGATGTCAGATCCCTTTGTTCTCAAAATTATCACTTTATCCAATGAGATTTTTATACCACATTCACCATTATAACTTCAGTTACCTCAYGGATTTTAAACCCGAACAAAACACATCTCATTTTGGGTCCTCGCATTCACTTCCTGCACTGTGGGATTTTCCCAGTTTATGTGTATCTGGAGGGCCAGCATCCTCCTGATCCTCCAAATAGAACATTTCTTGCACTGAGGCATTCAGACGGTGTGTTTCTGGTTCCCAAGATCCATTTGGTGCCCACAATTCTTAATAAAACCTCTACAAACAGCCCCAGCATCCTTTCCTTCATGCACCTCTTCCCATTGTCATTYTTGGCATGCACCACATGAAGGCATTAGTTCCACACTGTCTCACTGAGCACMTGAGCAGTGGGTGGAAGAAGATTCTCCTCTTTTTTCATTTTAGGATTTTATGCCTGGAAAAGAATCAATCAATATTGCCCTTCAAGATGAATAYAAAGGAATTAGAACCATTAATTAATCTATGATCACACAGTATAAAGGCAGGCACACTTGTCAAGTCAAACTTTTTGGAGAATATTTGGGTTTGAGCTCTCATTTCCAAGGTACATCAATCAAAAGACATTTTGCTACTTAATTTAGAGGAGATTATTTCATGTTTCAGCAGACTGACACACTTCAATATTTTTTTCCCCAAAATAAATGATTAGACTTAAGGAACCACTTTGAAACTTCTTCACAAATACAAATTTGGTTGAAAAAAGGGAAAACAAGGAGGTAAAAAAAGAAAAAGGATCTGAAAAGCATGAACTTACTTCATTGAGCATGTTGAAAGCTTCATTCAAAGCAATRTCCAGCATTCCAATTCCTTTTGCAAAAAGTTTGTCAAGGTGTTCCCTGAAATGCTGAAACGAGCAAGAAGGYTTTATTTGTCACTATGTTCTTACAACAGACAAGTTGAAGTCAATAATTAAGGATTTCTGAATACTTTAGACCTGAGTTCTTAGACTTAAATGACCACATACACTAATTAACAAACCAAAGTAATTCCAGTTAATCCTTTGACTCGTTAAGTGACACTAAACTAAGGYTGTGCTAGAGCACTTAGAGGGTAAAGCATCACAGGATACATCTTTGGCTACTTATTCAATCCAATAATTTTGCTTTGKYTTTTTGTTTGTGTTTCTATTTAGAGATATTTAACTTTTCTTTTTACTTTGTAAAATAATTTTATTTTATTTCTAGCTCTTTATCCTCTAGGTTTTGGTGTCTGATACTCAATAAAAACAATTCTTTCTGAAAATTAGCTTTGAGAGTACCTATCTCTAAAAGACGGTAGACTCTAATTGTTAGGTCATTGCAGTACAAATTAAGTTTATCAGTGTCAATAYAATACCAGATTTATAACAAACTCCAGTACACAAGAAGAGAGGACTATTAATTTATAAGGAGAATGAAGACCTATGTGGTAGGAAATATCAGGGGAGTGAAAGCTTTTGTGAAATGCTATTTCAGTCATCACAACTGGCTAAAAAGTACAAAATCACTGTAAAACAGAAAAGGGTATTTCAACCCAACTAGCAGAGAAAAAATGTCAGGGCAAGACATTTACCACTGAAGCATCAGTTTAAACAGAAAGAATACATGATTTCAGAATGAGATAAAAACCACCTTCATTCCACTTTCAATAACTCAGACACCAAACAGATCGTAAAAAGCAGGAGTCCTCTGCTCTTGCTGAGTCAAAAAGCATACTTGAACTTTACAAGTCAAAGAGCTCTTTTAGTAATAAACTTGTTTATCCTATTTTCTTTTTGCTATCATTTTGGAGCCCTGGTAGACAAATATCTGAATTTCACAGGGTTTGACTTGGATATCTGTCCAACTATGTGCACAAATATTCCCAGGCAAGTGTACGCTGAATTTCCATGTGTAAATACCAGAATGTGCAATATCTAATTGTAGACTCATATACCTAATTGACGTGCATAATCTTGGTAATTCTGAATGCAAATTAAGCACACAATTATGACAATCAGACATTGATGTCTGATTACAAAATTACAGGGTCAGAGTTGCACAGAAGTTGTGTGGAAGCACAGAAGWGTTCAGTCTGTGATCACCCAGAAATGTCTGAAAGACATGAGTTGAAGACAATGAAGACACAAATCCACTCATGCAGGTAAATCAGGATGAGGGCTTTCAGAATTTAAATGAGACAGGTTGGTTTTTAATGTCCTGCATGTTCTGTGTCTCATGGCACAATTAGAACATTAAAATCACACCACTGCTGTATACGGCTTTGGCACAACTCAGCAAGATTGAACTTAGAATTTCTCTTGTAGGTGATCGAAAGCAATTTTTGGTGCATCCTGGTGCATTCCCCTTTTCTAGCCTCACAGTTTAATGAACAGTTGTAGGGATTTGGTATCATACTTAGTTAGATGATTGCATTAAGTTTTCATACCTCAGCATTAGGAAAAATTGTCTCTCAACATACAATAGCAACTTGCATTTTTGTTACTGCTTTTCTCAGTTTCCGACTTTTGGTTTACTAGGATTAAAGAGTTACTTTCATTTACTTTATTTGAATACTTACTTGAATTTAAATAATTCAAGTCAAGCAATTTATTTCAGCAAATCTGTGTTTGGGGGTTGACATGTATTCAGAGTGCTTCATGATTCAGAACACAGGCAAATTTAGGGAGGTAGCAGGGGCAATCTGAATACAGGCAAGAATTAGATTTTCCTTTCCTGGTTTCAGGCCATGGTAAGCAATTTAAAAAACTCTTCTGACAAGAAAACCAGAAAACTGATTTTTTCCTTCATGGCAGAAGCCATCAAATTTGTAGCCAAAATGAGACACTGGTTTATCTAGCTCATAGAAAACCTGAAGAATAATTTACTAATTTGGTGGCAATTCCCAGGAATTCCAAGGCAACTCCTTTTACCAGTCTCTTATCTTAGAGGCTGTTCTAATGGTCTGAGCCAAATCAAGGCCCCATCTCTACTCTTCCCACTTAGCTAGAAAAAAAAATCTATTTTAAAAATTATTTTTATTTACTTCAGGGCTTCAGAATTAATTAATTGAGTTTAATTTTAATTAAAACCAAAGAAGTTTTGATTTTATTCTTGTTAAGCCAATATGCTACACAGGAGACCCCAGAACCCTGTACAAAAATTTTATTTTGTTCATAATTAGCCTATTTATGTTTACCAAAAACAAAGTACCACCTCATATGAGTAGGAATACCCAAATTAGATGGGGCACAGGACCATGGATTCAAGCCAATGCATAAAGCATTTTCCACTGATTCCAAAAAGGGAAATTAGTTCACAACTAATATRTACAGCAGAGATGATAAGTTACACTGGAAAAGTGTGATATTTGCTATTAATTGTCTGATGAGGGTGATCTCCCTACAGAAAAGCACTGTGAATGGGAACAGCATTCCTCCAGGTTTCCTTGTCAGCTCCACTGCAAGGCTTTGCTGATTGTCAAATTAGTTCCCATGCTCATCCACACGTGCTCTAACTCCAAATGGTCCTGGGACATTCTTGGCAAAGATTTATCAGATTTGTGAGGATGGACCACATCAACACATAAACCAGGAAAGAAAAAACAACAATCAGAAGGCTGATGTGAGATGGGAGGGGGCTGTTCACTTGTGTGTCACAGGGAAGTCACCCACGTGTGCTGACAGATAAATGTGCATCACATCTGCAAAATGCATTTGGGCATCACCCAACCCAAACCCACTGCCAGGGCAATTGCAGGGCAGCTCACTGGTGAGGATTTTCCAACCCCTTCTGTTTCCTAACACTTTGTGTTGGAAGAGAAGGGTTTGGGCTTTTTTTTTTTTTTTAGATAAAAACAACACTGAACAAAGAGCTCAAGATTCAACATACTCAGATTAAAACCAAATTCTTCTTAAGTAAATTAGTTACTGCAATAGAAACTGTCAGACCAAATTTCAGTGGTCAGGGGCTTACTGAAAGTTTTGAGGTTCTGTAACAGCCAGACAGTTTTAAAATAAGAGTAGACTTCAGTGAGACTTACTGTTTTGGGGGGTTTAACAGCTAAGCAATGCAGTTGAAATTATTTTGAGATCTGACAGAGATGGATAGATAAATATGCAAAAAGTAATTTGCTTAAATAAAATTCAATATGCAAAATTTGTATTTACCAACCTCTTATTGGCAATTTTGTTCAGTTTCTTTGCTGAATCAGTCTTCTGGTTATTTAATTTCTGGTAATTACATAGAAAAATAAAAGCTTTTTGGAAGTTATACACTACATCTGTCTATTTCTGTCATTCGAATTTACGCTGGGGTAAGTTCTTGATTTAGTTTGGAGTTACTGTGCCTATCTGTGCATCTAGAAGATGATATATTTCATCTGGAAACGTTTACAGAGAAATGTCCTCAACCCATATATAGTACATTAAAAAAACATATAAAAGAGGAATGTATATTGTAATATTGTTACTTTAAATCTGGAGTTACATTAAATCAGATTGTCATCCGATTCCTTTGGGGTAGGTAAATTGTAACATGGAGTTTCTCAAAGATGAAAACCTCTTGGCCCRAGAAAACTAGAATTAAAATAGGCAGTTCCACATGTTTGTAATTTGTGGAGAAAGTGCAGACGGTGACAGAATTGTGTCTGAACTATTTCCCACTCTTTTTTAAATTTGTGTATAGCAAATTGATACACTTCAAGGTAGCAGCTGTTCAACACTAATGCTAAATTATAAAACAGTCTGGTAAAATTCAAATATACCTTGCATATTTTATATTATTAAACCAYATTTAGGATCACAGATTAATTTCAACCTCAGTTATGCTACCCAATATAATTACAGATTTAATTTTTGTGATGAACAAAACTTAAAGCAAGTTCTGCAAATTAGGGATAGCTTACAATATCCACATATCTGAACTGAGTATGTGCCTACAAAAAAATTTATGACAATTGCTATGCTGCAAAAACTTTTAGAAATAAGTGGAGACACCRTGACACCTGTCATATCACCTGAAACTAATTATTCTTAACACTAATTATTGTCCTATTCTGAAATGTAAACTGAAACACTGTATCTTAGAGGAAATCTAGTACTGAGATTCCTACTGGGCATCKTAKTAAACCTGGTAGCACATTTATTAAYACCACCCACATCACTGCCAYATTTGAAGTTGTAACCTCCTCTTTTACAAATACACGGAGCAAACTTCATTCATAAGGTTTCTGAAAGGGAGAATGTTTTCTGAAGTTGTATCTGGCAGAAATGCAAGGTTTAGTTAGACTCTCATTGCTCTGAAAGCTAAGCACAACAASAGCTAACAGAACCCACAGTTTTGCAGGAAAATAATCGAACAAGTTGATCAAAACCTGTGGAAATTTCAAAATATCCTTTCAATGTATCCTCACACTTTCTGAAAGAAAATCACATTACATGCTGGAGATTCAGGGCTGAGAACCCGTTTTCTTCAACCTTCATTCCTTTGCTGTCACAAAAATGAATGAATGTGTCAAATGTTAAAAAGCATAATTGTACAMCATGTATTTGATACCCCTCAAAAATCCCCTGTAATGCACCAGACATTTATTAGYGCTTTAACAAAGGATCAGAAAACCCCTAACAGGTATGATGAGGCTTGTTAAAAAAATTCCTGCTACACCAATCACTGTGAAATCTGTACCAGTTTTCAAAATGTGCATTGGGCAAGGCTGAGCATTGCAAAGGCAAAAGTACTCATRTTATGTTTTCTCTTCCTACTGCTCTCTTTACTTTAAAAAGTGATGCAGGATCAAGAATCTTTGGCTAACATTACCAGAAATTAACARGTTTAACTTTTTGCCCCTTACAAATGTAGCTGTGAGAAGAGWGTTCAGTTCAGAGATTCCAGCTGAACCTTAACTTTTAAGTAAATGGAATAAAATAAAGACTGCACATTCTAGAGGAAACAAATGCAGCKTCATCAATAACAACTGGTATGTTTGTCAAAGAGAAATGCAATTCCTTCCTCTGTGTGCACTTTGAACAGGTTTACTCTAATGTCAGGTATATGTTCTTACCTGAAAGACAGAGAAAAATAGAAGGGGGTGGGCTTTCTAATATCTTTCCTGGTTCTTGCAACAAAAAACGTTGCTCAAGGGAGAGTGTCACCACAGAGTGGATAGAGGAGAGCTACAATGCTTGAAATGCTTGTTCATACTTTAATGAGAGTGGGTTTTTTCTTTTAGGTAAGTAGTTCCCACGCCGTGCTCCATGGCGAGTGCTCTAGAGCCAATGTGAGGAGTTAACACTGTGTTTACAATACTATTTTCATCCCAAAAAGAGAGGTGGGGAAGGGATCAAGAGTGACAGTGTTTCTCTGAGAACATGTATAAACCAGACAGCTTCAGGTTTTGGTTTTTTTTTTCTTTTTTTAGGACTAATTGAATTTTCTTAAAGTCTGGCTCTGTGGAAGCCTCTTACATTCCTGCACATTATGGGTAAGAGTTGCTGCAGCCCATCCCTGGATGTGAAAGAGCACTCCTTCATTTGCTACCCCTAATCCCACTGAATATTCAGCACCAWCGCCACCAAGAAGCTCTCATTTCCCAGGCTGCTACAAGCCCTAAGGCTGAAGCTGTTTCCTGTAGCCTACAAAAAAAAAATAAATCCTTATGCTCCATTCCCTGAAGATGCTCCCAGGTTTCATTTCCCCTGCATGGGAACAGAGCAGGCTCTGGCTGCAGCCCTGCTGCAGTGACAAACTCAGGATTTGCCTGACCCCAAAAGCCAAGGCTGTGGCTGGACAAGGGCTCAKGATGAGGGGCAGCCTCTGTGCACAGAACCCTCTCTTGCAGGAGCAAAATTCGATTTTGCCTCTCCCTAACAAAGAGGACCTGGTCTCTCCCCACACCCGGCCCAGTTAGTACAATTTAACCCAATTTATTCTGCTGAGAAGCTTCTTTACCCTTTAGCTCACTACAAATGCAGTGGTGAGGATAGCTAATCATCCAGATTCTCCATTTTTCGTTTTGTTAAAATTTAGAGATTAAACACGATCCAAAGAACGACATCCAGCACGTTTAAGTGACACTCTCAGAGTGGAAATGTTCCATTTGAAACATTTCTGAGCCTTGCAGAAAGACAGCAGAGTAGCTCTTCAATAAATATTTTCAAGACAAATATAGACTGGGGTACTGATCCTGGGAGAGCAATTTTTATTCGGAGTTTTTGGGACAGCTGCTTTCCTCATGAGGTTAAAAGCTCCATTCAAACATCTCAAAGTAATTTCTTATCTCTGMTTCTAAGAAGTTTCTGTATTTGGTAAAACTGATGTCAGATGAACCCAGCAAGATGCAGTTAGCAAGAACTGGGGTGTGCATCCATGTATGCTATGGGTGGATTTTTTTGGTTAAGGGTCATTTAATGGGAATTTTTTATATTGATGCTGAAGTAGTATGGGGAAAAAAAAAACAATAAAAGAAAGAAAAAAAGAGAGAGAATAATTTGGTAAAACTGGTTCCATGCATGTTTCCATCCACAATGCTGCATTAAGAGATGCATRTCTTAAGAAAGGTMAGGATTATGAATGACAACATAAAAGAGTGGTAGAGTGAACTGTTAAAAATYCAGTCCCTGCAATCATCAGCACCATTCATCTCCTCTTTCCACAAAAAACAAAACTATAGCAAAATGAAATACCATTACAGTAATTTTTAATTGTTTCTATTTCAARTTATCATTAGGGAATAGGTATTTGYCAGCAAAAGAAAAAGTGTTCTAATTTTTTTTTAAATGCTTGTAWTTGTTCTGTTGCTAATAAAGCTTATGCTGTTAGTAACAGATGTGATCATCCTTGCACCCATTCAGGAGAGAATATTTGACATGAAAATGAAAAATACACAGTTCTGAATCAAATATATAGCTACATTTTCAGACCTATGGTGGAGTTCCAAAAARTCAGGCATATGTAGGCATATGTAAACAGAAACAATAAATTATAGCAAAATATCACCAGTCAATCTCCTGCTCTGCTTTGCCAGTACAGAAATGTGGTCAAATGACTGCTTGGAAAAGCTACATAACACTGCATTTKTCTTGGTAGTTTTCTTGGGTTGTTTATCATTTAAAGAACCATTTATTAATCAGTGAACATGCAAAGGAGTATTTATCTTGTAAGAACTGGCTGAGAAAATGCCATTTTATCTACTTTTTTCTGATATTCTAATGGGCCCATGGCAATTACACCAGAAAAATAAACTACAGGAGAAGTCAGGTGTATCTGTGAGATTCACAGAAATTAATGTTATAACCTAAATGGCTGAATACTTATGAGGAGTTCCAAAATACAGCTAAATACTTTCTTAGTTCTGGATCAGTTTTGGAATGTGTACATGAACATTTGAAGACATCTTTTTTCCAGCAGGCCTGGTCAAAAACCTATGAATTCACGAGAAGCTTTTCCAGTTAATTCAGTGAGTTTTTGACGAAAAAATTTGCTGTGTGAGTACAGTCAGACCACACAGTATCAGATCTTACAACAGCATCAGGTGTTTCAGAAAGCTGTAACTGACTTCAAGGGCATGAAAACTGCATTGCTTGTGYAGGATTAAATGATTGTCCACCTCCTCGGACAATCTGCAATTTTATTGTGAGCTATACTCAGGACAATGGAATTTTTGTGCCTTCTAGTGTTTATGCAGATAATTTTTTAACTTCGTTAAAGTATCTAGAAAAATGATATAAGAACATACAAGCTCATATATAAAAAAAAATGAAGACTGGCAAAGTCATGGTGCATACAAATTCACAGAAACATTGTAAGTTATCTATCTCAAGTTTTTTTCTCTGTTCTGGCCTTTYAAGGAAAGAACATGAACTAGCTCACTAACATGAACAACTACAAAAATGTTCATATTTAATTATTTCCCCAAACCTTGGATATATTATTCAATCTACAGTTGAAGCACAAAGTTATTCTGTAAATAAATAAATAAATAAATAAATAAATAATTTAGCTAACTAGAAATTACATCAAAGCTTACTCTGAAAAACAAGATATGAAATTTTACTTAGTAGTTTTGAAAAACTGAGCACTGTTGATAAAATCTGAGCATCATCTGGGTGGTATAAAAACTYCTTGATCAATTAAATTAAAATGGATCTGATATTAAGTAACATATGGGTGCGGGGTAATCGGCATTTTGATCAGTTGCAGAATGATGGCAAGGTTAACTGTAGGATTGATTCCAACAGGACATCTGGGCAATACATTTGGATTTTTAGATCTGCATCTAGAACTTGCACAGATTTCATGTGGCTCATTAGGTGCACCCACAAGAAAGTGCTCATTTAGAAAACTGCATCACAATTCACAAATAAGGGACTTCAACATCAAATTATCAGAAACAATTCGTGCCCACATAGCAACCAAATGATATTTAGATACCTACAGTGGTAAATATCAAGTGTACAAAAGAAGCAGCAAAAGGGTGATTTCTGTAGGATGTAGACAAAATGCAAAGAACTCCTGTGAGTAATACAATGGAGTAAAAATCAGCATAACCAGATGAAAATCATTTTGTCTCAGTAAACATAAAGAATCTCAGCACTGACATACTTCAAGGTGTGTTTTCAGAGCTGTGTTTTCTACTTTCTATCACAGATCATTGACAACTTGAGCAAAAGTGAACTGCCACACTGGGTATTGAGCAGAATTCAGTGCTGAGCTGAAATTCTGATTTGCCCTTATTGGAAATGGAGAAGTACTTAAGGATGTATGACTGCTGCCCTCTCCAGCCACAGCAAACCACCTTGAGTAGAGAGGCAGCCTTAGCAAGGAAAGAAGTTCTATAATAGCAGGATGAGCTTATTTTATCAGGCTTTTCACTCTACAAGAATTACATGGCTTTTCAACCATATTATTTCATAATTTCACATGGCATAAACAATCTTGCCTTACTTCCTAAAGTGTGTTAGAGGAATGCCCAGAACAACTGCATCAAACTCTCAGGCAATAAACTAAACTTCAACCTGTGGGTTCATACTGCAATCTCTCTTCAAATAAAACTTGCATTGTAATCACTTTAATGTTTGGGGGATTTTACCTGAAAAATTTCAACAGGATGTAACTAATCTGAACATATTCACAGAACGTTCTTGAATGAGTGCATTATTACATTGACCTGTTTGGAATGTTAAATTCTTTTACTCTTATAGTATTAATAYTTGTTTGTAGATTTTGTTTCAATTTTAGTGTTACTTTGAGTTAAGAATGCAATCTCTTCCTCRGTAATTTCTGTTAACAGAATGATAGTTCAATTTAAAGTGGCTGAAATATTTTACTTAAAATAATTACCAAGCTTTATTAACAGTATATTTTCAGTGACTTCTGCAATTTTCCATTAAGTTTATTCAACCAAATTGACTAGGAGATTATTTCTCTCTTTATACTGAGTCACATAAAACTGCTCTGAAACAGCATGAGTAGAATAATTAATAAATTTTAATAATGGAATGTATTGTACTAGGAAAAGATCATTATAGCACATTGTCACCCACTGCATCCCAGCTCTCCACTGTTTTTTTTACTTTCATTCCTTACCTCTTTGTTGGCTCTGTCTGCTTGAACTAATGTTCCATTCAGACACGGCTCTACATAGTGGAGTTCTTCATTATACTATAGAGAGAAATACAAAGTAYGATGAAAAATTTAATTAAAAGCTTGGAAGATACAAGTCAATTTAATGACTTAGAACTACAGTGAATGAAACATGCACAGAAWGAAAGAACAAAAGGATTTTGTTCATTTTTGAAAACTTGCTGTGGTATTTCTTTTACTTTTACATGATTCTTAATTTTCCTGAGGTTTATCCCTCTAAAGGAGCACTGAATGGGTGCTAAAACTCAGGTGGAATTAAGGGTACTATTTACAGTTATCAGGCAAAAATATCCCTCCAACTGAAACCTGGATGGTATTAAGAGATCATGTTTGATACATCACAAACACACTCCCAATTCTTTGCTGCATATTTTAAAAGTCCTGACAAATGTTTGTGGCACTAACATTTTAAAAGCTTAATGCTGGAACAACTACACCAAAAAATCTGGAAGTTGAATCAAACCTGTAAATGACTGACAATGTTCAAAATCTCAGCCAAGGAAAGTGGCTTATTGTACAGAAGTCATGAAGATGGGACAGATCCTGAAGGAATGATCTGCTTTTCTTGCAAGGTGTAGGTAAGTTAGCTCAGTCCTACATTCACAAGCATCCTAAGCATTAAAAAAATGAAGTCTCATCTGCAGTCAGTAGAACTTGAACACTAATGGATGATTGATTGAAATTTGTACTTGTTTAAATCTTTGAAACCTTTCAACACAGGTCAAATTTATAGAGCAGTACCTTCAACAAATAGTTGTGTAGATAGAGCCTTAGCTTAATTCCTCCTCCAGCTAATTTAATCCACTTTAGAAGCAGATAATTTACAGGATATTACAGATCAAACTGTAAGGACTTTGCATCTGTGCTTTTAATTAGTCTCTCATTTCTTTATAATAATTTAAAAGTGGTTTCACAAGGCATAAAGTGAATCAGAACCTCCACCAAAACAACACTAAAGCAATCAGGGATAACATTTCATTAGGTCAATGTATGCATTTATTCCCTTCTTCCACCTCACTGAGGATAAAAAAAAGCCTTGCAATGAACAACTCGTCACACAAAGCTGCTTGGACAGGGCCTCAGTCCCTGTGAATTCTCACAGTCTGTCCCTTCCTGCAGCTCCAAATTTGCTCCACTCTCCTCGATTTAGCACCACTGCTCTCTCTGCACCACAGCCCCCTGCAACCCGATCCTCTTTGGACACCTGTCGTCACCATCCCTTCTGGCTGTGCACTGCTCACCACCTTCATCACCACATAATTACTCTTGCAGAGGGAAGGGTATTTAATTTGAACTGCTGGAGTTATTCTTGAGGCACTGTGCCAGACTCAGCCCTCAGCTAGAAGGGAATATAAACCCAGAGTAACTTGCTATTGCTGGGTATACAGATGATTTATATCAGCATCAACATGGTAACTGATTATACAGAAAAAAGCCAAAATGTTTGAAAGATATTTACACAATTTTTGTAGCAGATTTGCATACTTCCCTAATTGTTTTATTACCATCAATGTTATTTCTATATATGAGAGTGTGTGGACTTATCTGTTGTTCCAAAGGTGATACAAAATACAAGGCAAAGGYTTCTGGAACACTTTAGAGTCACTGAGTGTCCCGTGTGCATCTCAGCCTCATAACAGTTTATTGATCTGATAAATGATGTACTTTCCCCTGTAGTCTCTCCTCACACTGCTTTCCAATCTGTCTCCTGAGAGTCATTGCAAAATCACAATGCCAAATCTACACAGCATCTCTTATTGTAGCCCAAAGTCAAGACCATACTCCATTCCATGATAAAAAAAAAATTACTGAAAACCTGTGACAGACTGGCACACCCACCCTTGCTGCCAAGTTTTTTTCCTGTTCATAATCACGTTTTTTTTCAGCCCATTCTCTGATCAAGATACTTTCCAGTTAAGCCTTTTCTCAGCTTGATCTCTGCAGCTGTTATTGGAAATGTGAKCATATTCTCTTTATATCATACCAAGCACAGATACTTTCCAATAATTATTTAAAATCTCAAATATAAAGAGAYGGAAAAATTCACTGGATAGAATTATTTCAGTTCCTAATGAAAGTCCCAAAAAAGCATCTGCCTAAGTCCATGAAAACCGGAATTCTGATGTAACATGTGAAAGCATTCAAGCARTGTTTGCTACTTAAGCAATCCACTTGATAAGATCTTTAATACRACTCTCACCTTCTACTAAAACACCAAACTTGTGCTTCATAGTGTGCATTTGATTGCTTTGCCCTTGTCATAAGGTGTTTTACAGTGATATTGGTGCACAGTGATATCTTCCTTTAATTGAGCCAAATCTTTAAAGAGAAAAAAAGGAAAAAAATTCTCTTCCCCTTTGCCACTACCACCTCAGTAATCTGGACTTAGGCCTGCAGTTTTTCTGACATTTCAAATTTCATATTTAGTGAAATAACTTCCTGATCTGATTAACAACTGCAGACTTCACCAGCAATCCCCAGTGTAGATGTCTCATTAATTCACCACAGTGAAAGCCTGCATTTGGCTTTTCAAGGGTTCTAGCATTATGCTCTTTTCTCACATTTCCTGGTGTTACACAGTCCCACTCCTCTATACCCTGGCATGTGGCATCTTTGCCTGTGATAGTTATGACAGCAGTAGCTGGGTGAGCAAATATCTGAACAACATCTGGGAATAGCCTGTGTTTTGTGAGGGGAGGGAGGAAAAAATTAAYGACTTTCCTTTCTGAGCTCCTCTTTGAAAACCCCAGTCTGCTCTTGTAATTTAAATATGGAATTACATTGATATTTATTGTTTTATTTACATAGCCACAGTTATCTGTTTTATTAGTTCACATTATTTTGTTCCTCTACTTATTTCTTTGCACAACAGGCATAAAAATGTAAGTGGGCTAAAATGTGAACTGAGAGAAACCATACAGTTATTTAGAGAGCTGCTGGCCTACATTCCATAATAAGATAGTATTCATATTCTGAAAATGAGATATGAATGGTTTTAGCACACCTACACAAGCAGTATACCTTTTCCTTAGCATTTTCCTTATTTATTCTTCGCCATATTTAAGCTGCCTGGAACAAGGTCCACAGAAATAAATTAAATTCACTTTTTTTTTTTTGGTGCAAAAATACACAGATAAAAGATAAAAAGTTTTCACACTATATTGCCCGTACTCAGATATCCAAATCAGCCCAGCCTAAGAAGCCAATCCAGAAAAGGAACCAAAGGAATTGGTGTTTCCATGGTTTACCATGCCCAACAAGTGACACACAAACACAGACCAACGGTGGGAGAATTCATATGGAGGTTCATTTTGGCTACCTCTTTTTGTCAGCCAGCTCACACACAGCTCTACAGAAAAAAATGATTATTCAGGTAGGCTAAAAAGTAAATTTATCCATGCTCTATTCTGCAGGAATAAAAAAAAAATTATAAAATACTATTTATACTGGAAAATTCTCCATAGTAGTACAGGAAGCTATACTACTCTGCTTTGAATTAGCAAATACTTTTATTCTAATCAATTTTGCTAAAAGGGTGTGTCTAAAGCAGTAAAATTAATTTCACATCCTCGGTTCGGTTAATATTTTGCTAATTCAATGTAGAGTTTTTATAAAAGCATTTTAAAATTTACAGCATTTGACAAAATTAGTACTCGTTTTATGATAATATTGTTAATTTAATGCTTGACTTGGAATTATACTTCAAAGTGAATTGGGAAAATATGCCTTTTCTCTTGCTGTTGCAGATATCTCCATTCATGCACCAGTGAACTGACCTCAAATTTTAACACAGGCAGCACAAAATCKCTCTTGTATTTCAATATTTGTTTTTTGCAATTCAATCATCTCATCCACAAATTTCTGATGGGTATTGCAGCAACCTACCCATGAAAGCTAAAATGATCTTTAAGATTATCCTTTTATGTATATTCTCTGGCGAGACTTACACTGAACTCTGCTTTCTGCTGTATATACATATATATATATATATATATAGATAGATAGATTTACATAAATACATACAAATATTTGTTCCGTTAATCACTGTGCATGATAAAGCCTGACAGTCACGGTCTCTCAGGCTCAAAATTTTGTTTCATCTGATAAGTACATTGCTTGTCCAGATTTCTCACACTAATAATGCTCTTACTCCRCTCAAATTTTGGTCTGGGGAGCGAGGGAGGTGCTTGGCCATTTGTCTGAGATTCCAGATGCCCAGGAGTCCTCATGGAGCAGCAATTTGGACTGGCCTTTGAGAGCAGTGGGTCTGAGCAAGGCTCAGCCGTGTTCAGGTGCAGAGTCACCCTCTGGCACAGCAGATCTGTTTTTGCACAGCTCTGGGGACAGAGGTTTGCTGTGTGAGCTCAGCTCTGCGTTACAAAGGGATTTCCTAGACTGGCATCTGAGTGTCTCACCTTCACATGGAGCTGCTGTCACATCAGCAGGCTGAGCCCCAACCACAGGCAGATCTAATCTCACTCAACATTTGTCTGTAGATAAAAGCTGGATGGGATTTTCAGTGCTTTCACAGCAGGCAGCCTCTTGTGTGGGCTTTGTCTCATGTTTTGATCGCTGAAACATCTTCTCCAGGCCTGACAAATTCCAATTGCCYTGCTGGCACGTGGTCAAAGCAGCGCTTTGGAAGTGATTTTTGCAGATAATGTAGATGTCAGTGCCTTTACTGAGTACCCTCAGTATGCCTCTACACATCACATTTTGATGTGCATGGCTCAGCTTCAGCCTACCCGTGCCATTCCACACTGAAAACCCCACTCCCTTCTTCACAGCACAGCTCTCTYTTGCTAGGGGGTTTTATTTTCAAGCAAACAAATATTTTTGTTTCTGTATATTGTTGGTTTGTTTACCTTGTGAGACAGCAAGAGGCAGCTGAGTCAGGGGARGTTTRGGTTGGATARGAAAAGGTTTTTCACYCAGAGGRTGGRTGAGCACTGGAACAGCCTCCCCAGGGCAGAGCTCACAGCAGCTGAGTCCAAGGATCCTCTGGAAGTGCTCTCAGACAGCATCTGGCATTTGGGGCTGTCCTGTGCAGGGCCAGGAGCTSGGCTCCATGCTGATGGATCCTAATTCAGCATATTCTGTGATTCCGTGGCTTAGTACCAAACATCTCCCTACAAACTCCTCCTGCAGGAGAACTCCAAGGCACCAGGACAGCGCTTCACCCCCTCACTGCCTCTCCTGCCATGCTCTCCCTGCTCCCCCTGCATTCCTGTGGTACCTCTTGCAAAGCAATTAACACCTTCAGGTTCATATTTGCACATCAATGTCCTAATGAAATTAAAGAGCTGAGCAGGTAAGCAGAAAAACACCTCCTCCATTGCTCCTCCTACTCATTTAAACAAAAACACACATATCTGTCCTGAAAGAGGCTCTAGAGAGGAGAGAATCTACAGAGGAAAAAAAAAAAAAACTCAGACTGTAAATGCTGTAATTAGCACAGGAATTAGGTTTCTTTCTGAAAATGCAGAATTTCTGATCCTGGCCAGGCCCTGCAGGAGGGCTGCAGGATGGGAGGGCTCCACAAAGTGCCCAGTGCCATCCCAGCAGCTCCAGCTGGGGACACTGAGGTGCCCAAACGGGCTGGGGCTGCAGTGCCCTCACACAGACAGAGCCTGSAAAGAGCCATCAGGGCTGGGAACATCTGGAAACACAGCTGGAAAAACGCGGTGGTGGAAGGAGAGTGCTGCTGGACACCGGGGGCTGGAGTGACCCACACCAGAGTGGGGACAGCCCTGGGGCTCTGCAGCCATGGGGGACCCGGGACTTTGTGTTAATTAATTAACAAAAATTCTGGGACCCTACACTGTTTTACACTCAGCTCAGTTAACGTTCAAATAAACTTTAAATTGCAAAAAGTGACAGTTTTTTCATGCTTGATTTTTAAAATAGTATTTGCATGGTATTTCTGCTGTACTAATTAAGCAAAATCACTAGTTTGGATTTAAACTACACATGTTTTTACATTTTTTTGTTGTAGATGAGTCTTTTGATTTCCCTAAAATAAAAGAAAGTTCACTTAGAAACCAACKTTTCTCTTCCTACATAATTCACAGTAACTGTTACAACTACTGATAAACAGAGATTATACACCAAGAAATGACTGGTTGAGCATCTGAGTAATTACTTAGTTGAAACATTCTTTCAACTGACAAAAATTATTTAGATTACAGTTAATCACTTTTTTTTTAAGGACAGTAACTCTTTTTTGGGTACAGTATGCAATTATATCTTTATAAAGCATGAGTTTCTGCTAATTATGCAATTATCATGCAAGGAGATTAACAAGAAAGATAGTCTGAACTCCTTGCTATCTGTTAAAAATACAATATATGCATATATACTTCATGGACATATACTTCATTCTCTATACAGTCTCAGTGATTTTCACTGGTGTCTCTGGGGTCATTTAATTCAGTATACAAAGGATGCTTTCCTTACAGCAAAAAAAAAGCCAAAATCTTGCTTATGTTCAAGAAGTTGAAGGCATTTGCACATTGGAGAAAACCATTTATTTATAAGTATTAGCAAGAGAATATCAGCAAAGAAAATTTTATATAACAACTGATTCCTCCTCCTTTCCTCCCCTGCAAATCATKGTTCTGATGTCAGTTTTTGACTCGTTGATGTCATCCTCAGCCACAAGATTAATCCCAAAACTCTTAAGTACAGTAAAACCAGCCTCTTGTCACAGCTTTAAAATTTGTATCTGTACTGTGGAAAACTCAGCATCATTTACAAGAGGAGCTGCTGATAATCTGATTCCTCACCGTCAGCAAACACCAGCAACTCCTTACACAACTTACACATCCATACATTGCAGATCCCCACTAAGGGAAACACGAACATTGAGGAGTTATGTTGGCATTTTATCAGGCCATACAAGCCTCAGCAAAAACTAAAATCTGAATTTATTAATTCTTACAGATTCACCATTTTGTAATTTGCACTGCATAGCATCAGCTGAGGGGGAGGAGGATGGAAGGCAGCAGGGAAGGCAGACACACCCCAATTTTAAACGTTAAGGTAAAATAGAAAGTTCAAGCAAACTAAAAAACCCACCATATTAGTATTCTTTGCAACCCCAGACTGGAGATGACTTTTGTAAGAGGTTTCAAATTGCAGCTCATAGACAAACAGTCTGAAATCTCTGACACCCAAAGAATCCTGCACTGGAAAAACACAGAAAGTGTCTGTCCAGTGGGTTCAGGTGTCATCTTATCCATCACCTGTCTGCAACTTTTTCAAGTGGCTTGTGTGAAATCAATCATGACAGATAGCAAGAAATGATGGAAGAAAAATAATAATAAAAAAATAAACTGAGACACTCACAGCAATTATATTGAAGAAGTCATCATCTCCAAGGGTATCCAAAATGGATGAAACTGTCTGTTTTGCAATAGTCAAGCGAAGCCCTTTCATACTGCCACTKACATCCACTAAAATTACCACATCTTTTGGAGAAGTTGCTGCCTGGATGTACCTGAGACAAAAGACAAAACAACTTCTTTTAAATATTGAACTTTTCATCCTTTCAAATTTCTTAAACACTGCTAGTCATCTGTGGCCTACCACTTTCTGTTTCTGCAGTCAAATGCAATGACTCCATTCTCATCAGGTTCCCATTTAATTCCTGTTTAAAAAAAAGAGAATAAAAGTATTAAATTACATTTTCACGGAACCTGTTTAAAATGTATCTGTGATATTGGGGCTCAGCAGCAGTTAATGGACTTTCATACTTAAATCTGTCACTGCCATTACAACATAGGAAGTACTAGGGAGATATAAAGTTAAAGAAATAGGACAAACAGAAATAATTTTTTTTCTTCACTCATTTTTAGTCTACTGTAAGGTGGAAACCTCTTCAGGCCTACTATGTCSTTTGCACTATTTTCACAAAATTCTGGGGCTGGCAAGCTTTATCAAATCTTGCCAAGTCCCTTCCAGATCCTGAGCACTTCCCAGYCATGGCTGATCCCAGCAGCTCCTGTTCCATTAACTGCTTCACTCACAGGTCATACTCTGAATTTTCACTCTCATCACTATGAAGAGGTAAYATCTCCTGCTTGTGGGTCAGAAGAAATATGATAAAAATACCTCYAAGAGAAAAAAGATCAACAGTGGAATTCTTCCTGCTTTTTACACTCATTTTCTAGCACAAAACAGCCTTGAAAATAAGGACTAATATTTGAAATATCATGGAGCTTGGGAACTGAAATATAATCTAAAACTGACACAGGTTTAGCAGACATTACCCTCAGCCACTTTTCTGCTCATGGTAAACATGCTTAAAGTAAAGATTAACTTGCTTAAAGTAAAGATTTAGAAAAACATGGGATGCTAACACTTCAGCCAAAGGCACAATATCCATTAGAGGCCTGATTTATTTAATTTCATAGTTTATTATAATGTGGTAAATTTGGTGTAGGATTAAACATAAAACTTAATAGACAGCAATATATGTTTTAACCTATTTCCATAGAAATAATACAAGTRATGTGATTGCATTTTATTACAACTGACGTAAAAATAAACTTTAAAAGTTTTTWAATTAAAAAAACAAAAATTAAATGTAAATATGTCTGGTTAAGTGGGAGTTTAAGAAGAGAATAACAAATTTTAATGCAGTTTTGCTGGGTGCACTGATAGAGCACATTATTTAGGGTCAGTACTAGATGAAGGGTCTAATCCTTCTACCCTCCTTCTTCACAGTCTGTTGAAAAGTTATTTTTCACATTTGTCTATCTGATTAAAAATTGTTATGAATATGTGAGTTATCATGAAGGCTTTACCTCCAAATGGAAATTAGTAGAAAAACCTCAAATTTTTAAAATGTTGATTAGAAATCTCCCTGAAAACCAGATGAAGTAAAACCAAACCTGCAAGTATCTGTGGCAGTCAGGATTTGTGACACTACTCAGTGCAGCCATAGAATTCTTTACTGGATTTTAAGAACTTCTGTTTTTCTTACCTGGATATTGCCTGAAAAATCCTTTTGCACTTCCAAAGTACTGCCAGATGAGAGAAGGGTCACGATCAAAGTTATCAACAAAAACCTTATTTAGAGATTCCGACCAATAAACTCCATTTACAATGGCTGGATCTGGAAAAAAATAAAAACACACACAATGAAAAGTGATTTTAACTAAGTAAAATCCATGAACTCTATTATTTTCAGTTTATTCAGTACACAAAAATCTGTTGACTGAAAATTGTTGTAGAACGTTTTAAGTTTCCTTTGCCAAATAAGTGATCCAAAATAAATTATTCCCTTAAATAACAGAAGTATGACTAAAATAGAGCAGAGACACCTGGTACAACTTTTTGATAAGTTAAATTTGCMCTTTAGAGCATCTGTCTTGAACCACCATGTAGCTTGTTCTGGAGAACATAAATAGGTCAATTTTATTTAGATTATTTACTCAATGTACCTTCCCTAAATGTATGGAATGTCTCATGGCAACACTTTATGTTTTTTTTAAAACATTCAACTTGGTAAGATCATTCCCACTACATCTGAAAGTTTTCATGTTGGAATAGAAAGTGGAATACCTTTTATTTCACACTTGAATKATGATGTGCATAAAAACACAACATCTCATGACAAACACCACTAGTTGTTATTTGGAAAACATTGAACCTACATTCCACAACAATTACCCAATTAGTTTTTATTCCCATAGAAAGAGAACTACAAAGCAAATCCTTGATGTTGAAACTGTTCTGTTTAAGACATCCCCATCTATCAATCCCTAAAACCCCAGGCTGCCCAAGTACATTTTTATGCTGCAGATTTGGTTCAATAGTGGGAAATGAGAAATCAATGAACGTGTCTTATAAAGTTACTGGATTTCAAACCGTGAATTTTGAAAGATGAGAAACAATTAAGATACAGGAAGTTCCCAATTCAATCTTATGTGAAGTCAGCAGAATAAAAAGAAAAAGACAGAATTGAAATCACAGATGTATTATTTAATTTGCAAAAGTGTGCATACATGAATACACAGTAACATTTGCTCAAGCATTTGAAATAAAGCAGCCATTAGCTTGCAAAATAATGTCACTGTACTGTTTCAGAAGACTGTTTCAAATRTGATTTTAATGGAGTGGAAAAAAGGCAAATTGTTATCTTCCCTTGCATTCATCAAGAAAAACAGCAGAAAAAGGGAAATGTCTCAGCTACACAACTTTACATGTTGCTTTCACCTAAATATTTAGGTTTACATAGATGAAATGCTGAAAAAGCAAGGTMAACAAAAACAGATGTTGCTTCTAAAACATGTTGAGGGCAGTTTCTTGTTTCTCTAGAGGATGAAATATACACTAAAAACCTGCCCCAACAGACTGCTATCAACCAAACCAATGTCATTGCTCCAAGGGCCCTGCTCCATTGACCAGTTGTTTCCCAGTCTGTAGTGACCCCAACAACGAGCTGTGACCAAAACATCACAAATCAAGCATCAAGACTGAGATCTGCCATCAGTTTGTACAAATATGCTCCAATTTCAGCACCCCAAAATATCTCCCCGCTGTTCAGCATTCAGACATTGCCTGACAGTGAAACACCAAAAGGAGAATCCTGTTCCTCAGCCACTGGAACTCCCCAGTACCAGTTACAACACTGATATTCTGATCCTGCTCCTATGCTTTATTTCCAATGGAGTATCTAAATCACTAAAAATTGCAGTGGCACTGCTGACTCAACATCACAATACTGAGATAAGGTGATAATCTTAATTCACCTTTGAAAGGAGCAGCAAAGTTCAGAGGATTGGTTTTGCGTTTTTTCTTTTTCCTGGTTTTGCTAGAAAAGTCTGTTTAGAGGAAAAGAGAATGAACCATTTCTCAAGCCTCTAGAGGGCTATAAGCTCTTTATATGCCCTTCAGTCATCAGGATTAGTGAAAAGACAAACAAATCAAACAGAATAATTCCATATTAATTTATATCTAAAATAAACTGCAGTGGTTCTTAGCAATTTAGATTTGCATCTCGTTCCAAGACTGCACATTGTACCTCAGTATTTTATAGTTTTATCAGATGTCTCCTATCCTGGACTCCTCAGAGCCTAATTTTTAATGTCCTTTCCTAATGAATCTATTCCATAATGCCCTCATAAGAGCCCTCACTCTGCCTCCCAACTCAATAACAATTTTCTTTGGATTCTACATGCATTCCAGTTCTGTAAGGTCAAGGAACAACTCTAGTCATTCCATTCACCTCTTAGGTTCTGAATTGAATTTGAAGTTCTTCCTGGGCACACAAAGATTATATTTATGTATAAAAAATACAAATATAAATCACTTTTAAAAAAAAATCATATTTAAATATTCATTGAAATTTTGTATTACTTGTTTAGACCACCTGTGAAGACATTAAYGTATTTCTATATCAGTATCACAGATCTGAGAACGCCACGGAAATAAAGTCAGGAAATTTTGYCTGAACAAGACTGGTGGAGTCTATATTCTGCATTAGGCTGACAACATTAATCATCCAAATGCTGATCACTCCAAACAATAATCCAGTGACTCTGAAATTAATAGCTTGGTGGTTATTTTTACTGAAAGGAGCATAAAGCAGACATTTTAAGCAAGGGGGCACAATTAAAATGTGACCTATGCTCGCTGGGTTCCTTCAAAATGAAAGCTGGTGACAATTCTCCACCTTTCCACATTCTGCATGTCTGTTATGCTGAATGTTAAGCTTGTAGTGCTTCAAGTTATGTTTTATGCTTCAACCACTTTAATAAAAAGAGCAAATAGAGCTACAATCAGTTTAATCCTTGGAATAAAAGGAAAAGTTGGGGAAAAAATAAAGCCGCAGTAGCAAACAGCAGATCTGGAAATGATGAGCCTTTACTGGCTGCTGCAGGCAGAAACCACAGCTCCTTGTTCTAAATTTTAYACTGCTGCTATGAGGGTGCATCTCTGTCCACATGCACCATCCCAAATACAACTGAGTTCTGACCATAYGTCCTCATTACAATTTTATACTCTCATCACCTAATAACCTGTACATTAAACTTGTTGTTCTGGGCAATTTCCAATTTTAGTAATTACACTAAATTGTTTCAATTCTCCCAGTACTTCACTTAGAAACAGTATTCATAAGTTTTTCAATTTCTGGTGAACGTCATCTGCATCCCCAAGATAGYTATATGTCAATAGTGGTAGATTAATCCTTGTGAATATTCAGAAATTTGGTGAGGGAGAAAAAAAAGTAAAGCTTCATATAAATGCAAAATTATTAATACGATGTTGTGAGGCTCAAAGATAATAAATGTAAATAGCTTCCTCCACAGTTCTTGAAATACAACTTTTGCTTTTGCTTCCTGGCAGATAAAATGTAATTAAAATATTCCCTTTCCCTTGCCTTTTAGATGAGCTGGCTTGCAATTATATGGGATTCTACCCCAGCATTGTTGGTGTAGAAGTTACCTGTTCTTASTGACATTTAACATAAAACCAACCCCGAGGAAAGTAGGTGCAGTGACATGGAACTGAAACAAGATTGCCAGAGAACAGCACAAATGCATGTAGCAATTAAGTTGCTGTCATGGATCCTGATGACCCGAAAAGGTCTGAAGTCTCAACAAAGGAAGGTKCACAGACTGAAAGATGTGCAACAGCCAAAGGTAATGATTTTTCTCTTTTTTTATGTTCACAGGATCTATAAAAGTATCTAGAGTATGATAAGTCTATGGATAGAAACTAATACACCCACAACTCATTCTGCATTTTAATTATTCCAGCCAGTTTTACAGAAAATAAGGGAAACCTCTGAAGAACTCGGTAACTATGAAATGTGGAACACTTCTTTTTCTTGCCATACTCTGCTTTATTATCAAGAAAAGTTACTAATGATCTTTATTTTTCCCCCCTGTTACATTACTTTTGCAATATAATAATTTATTTCTCCTGGAAAGCTGTCAGAGATGCTGGCATTGACAATGATCTTCCCTCCTGCAATATCTGCCAACCTCGAGGGCAGCCCTACATGGCAGAGCACTTCTGTCATTCAATGAGGCAGTTTGAGCACAGCCTAYGGGCCCAAGCACTGCAAAAGGAATGCAGAATCCAACATTTTTCTGGCTCAGAGATAGCAACAATATTAGCTTCGTTTTTATGACATTGACAACATATTTAGTCTGGTCATATTTTAAAGAATAACAAAATCACATACTTTGCTGGGACATACACCAACAATCCAATAATTGCACTACTCAACACTAATATGAATGCTTTTCAGGGTGGTCCAGCATATTCCAGAGCTGGGGCTGGATGCCAGTTTCAGCAACTGCCTTCACTTTTTTCTCCCTCTTCCCCTCTCTCTGACTCCAGGGTAATGTGGATGCATCAGCTCACAGATCAAAGCATCTGGCCATCTGCAGACATAAAAGAAGGTGTTTGTCCACTTTGCTTCGTGTGCTGGGAACTGTTCACCAATGTCAGGAATCACATTCCCTCCTTGAGAGGATCTGGGATGGTAAAGACTTCACGTACGTGACTGCACTAAGGCACAGCAGTTGGCATTTGGGGCCTTCATCTTCCARTATTTCCCTGATAACCTCACCCTTCTCCTTTGAAATGACAGCAGAAGAACTGGAGCATGGCCAGATGCGTTTATTTTTATGCTGAGTTTCATCTAAGTGCATTTGGACAATGCTTTGGATTGTTTTATGGTGGKGGGGGGGTTGTGTTCCTTTTTTATTTGGGGTTTTTTTTGTTTAATTTTTTTTGGMTGAACAAGACGGACTGAGATTCAACTTTAGTTCATTTGAAAGCGAGAATTRCAGCTGCAGACTCCTCACTAACAGCATTCTGGGATTGGGGATTTGTTTCTGTCTCATGAGAACTTGCCATCTCATGAGTTACAGAAAACGTCCTGCAGCAAATCTGAGAAGGTTTGAGATGACTTAACCCCTTTGGTACTGGCCTGGCTGGACCCTGCTTAACTTCTTGGATGTCTCAGCTAAAAGCAACCAGTATGACCAGACTGACCAGGGGGCAGGTCAGAGCAAAGCTCTGCAAACAGCACACAGGCACCATCTGTGAATACAGAATATTAACTTTYGTTTTAAATTACAGGAGAAACCCAGAGCA